TTTGATTTCAGAAGAAAATTACACTTGCACACAATGTAGCTGGACAACTGTAAATAAAATACAATCTCCCTTTAGAAAAAGCTGAAGTAATTTGGCTACTTGGAGAATCATTGTTTAGCAATTCATGAACGCTGTGGGTGCTTGGAATTCAATTCTATTGTCCCTTATCTGAATTGCTTTGAAAAAGGTCAGATGACTAGGAAAGGAAGTTTTGACTTTCACAAGCCTGTTATTGCTAAGGAAACCACTTCCTTGGTATTCACATATTCAGCATGTCTCCAGTTTGGCTCTGGGACAAATTACATTGTGCTACCGCATCAAGTAACAAACAAGGGTGGTGGGGGAGGGGGGGGGGAAATATTGTTTTAAAAAAAAAAACCCTCAGCCTATTTTTAAAACAAAAATAGTCCTCACAGGTTTTGCCTGATATATTTTGCATATTCCATTTAGTGAGGCCTTTTTTTAGCCTCAACTGGATGTCTAAAATGCACAAAATGATGGCAATCTGTCACTAATTATTGGCAATGATTCTGTGAAATCCTGGATATTGGGAGCCTCATCTGAATCTTCCTCCTTGTACTTAATTCAGCATTTAAATGTGTAATTGCCTATTTCAGGCATTCAAATGCCAATTTGAGTAGCCAAACCTAGAATGCAGTGATTTCGATAAGGTACTCACATTTGAAAATTGGGTCAACAGGAACCATCCCTTTCTCCAACATTTAATTTGAACAAAGAAATAGAAAGAGATTAGAGTTATTGTGGCTTAAGGACTAAATGTGGTTGTCGTACCCAGACTGTAGCAAAAGTTGCTTTGAAGAAATATGTTTGCTGCCTTCAAGCTGACAAGAGCCTGTATCATAACTAGGCTTCTTTATTTCTAATTTTTTAAAAAGCCTGCAATATGCCTCAGGCTATAACTGGGTTTTATTATAAATACACAGTAATTACCAAAAAGCGCACAAATAATGGAAATTGTGCAGCTAACCCACTGTGCAACTTATTGCTAATCTAGGAGTTACTGTTTCCTTTGATGCATCAAAAGCTATTTGTCTTGAGTATTATCAGTAGAAGCAGCATAATCTAGTGAACTAAGTTTAGGACTGTGGAAACCAGGAACTCAAAATTCTAATCCTGAGCCTGCCACTGTGGGGTCTTAGGCAAGTTATTTACTCCCCTCCTCCCCTAAAATAGTGATAATATTGAGCTACCTCACACACAGGAGTTGTAAATATTAGTTCAGATATATCATAAGTCTCGGCTTGACAAAGCCCCTACTGGGATGATTTAATTGGGTTTGGTCCTGCTTTGGGCAGGGGGCTGGACTCGATGACCTCCGGAGGTCTCTTCCAGCCCTATGATGCCATGCATTTTGACTTGAGGTTTCAGATTTACATGTATAATACTGGACACGGATTGCATGGACTTTTTGGAACAGTAGGTCTGTGGTTACTATTATTAACATATTCCACAAAGCAGGATGTCAGGAAGGAAGGAAACAGAGTATTGCTAGTTTGCCCCTATCCATCCAATCCCACCATCCTCCATCCATACACGTAATGCTTCCTGGTGGTATCCAGGGTTGGAAGGCACCTTCCCACCACCTGCCCTTACTGGGAGGAAGCCTTGTCAGTGCTGGAGGGCAGGAGTGGGAGGGTTGGCAACTCTCCAACTCTCCCTCCTTCAGGCAATACAGACACTGTTCTCTAGGTCTTGCAGACCCTGCCATCTCTCTAGGTTAGTGACTGGCAGCCTCAAGCCCTGCAAGTGTCTCCCCGGAATGTCCAGCCCAATGTCCAGTGGATGTGCAATATTCAGAGATTCATTGATTTCAAAGCAATTGTACACCAGCTTATCAGTTCCTCGTCAGATTACCTTTCTGCTTAACATACAGCACTTACATATGTTTATTGTGAAATTTAGTATGTTTATTTAACAAGGCATAGACCTTCAAATAGTAGCAAGAACATTGGAAACAAATATGTTTCATATTTGTTACATATAAAATGTTACATATAAAATAAAATCATAACATGTACACTAGAGCTTAGACTTAATTAACAAGCTACTCTCATGTCTAAGGAAGTCTTGCTCACCTGAAATTCTTGCCCCCCCCCCCCCCCTTTCTTTATTCATGAACAGGAAACATCCCACTTCCCACTGTTTGTTTCATCTTGTAGATTTCCTTTCTTATGTGCCATTGGCCCAGTATGCAAGTAGGCATATACTGTGAAGCATATAATGCACAATAACCAGAGAGGGAGATGGGCATATGCTACCTCAGAAATGTTTCTTTCCAGCAGGAGGTATATCACTTCTTGGTGCCCTGCCTTAAATCCAAAATCTTAAGAAAGTATTTTTAGTATAGAGATATAACTCCTTATCTGTACACGTTTTTCAGTTATGATGATCAATGGGCTACTATCTCTCAATAGACACTGCACATCACCCTTCTATGAACTGTTATGCAGATAGCTATGCTAGGATATCCCTGTGTAAAACCTTGCATATCCTTTCTGCCCTTTGCCAGTTGGCCTCGAAGGCTATGTCTACACTCATGGCTTCTTGTGCCAGAAATATGCAAATGAGGCATAACGGCATTGCACAAGAGGAGTTTTCTTGCACAAGAAGCAGCAATGTAGACAGCTCCTTCTGGAGCAAGAGCCTCTTCTGCAAAAATGGCAGCTTATTAGGTATGCAAATGAGGCTCGGCAATATTCCATGCTTAGCTTCATTTGCATATTTCTGGCACAAGAAGCTGTGAGTGTAGACATAGCCTAAGGGTTTTTGGGTCACAATATGGCTGACAGCTAATCCTTTTGTTCATGTGGAGAATCCTCTATGCATGGATCGGGGGTTGCACACTCGTCCTTCTCACCTTGTAGGAAAAATAGCTTGCTCTCTGAGGCTTTCTACTGTAATTACTCCAAAACTCTGTGAGTGCTTGTGCATGTTCTTTAGCCATTCCGATCACTTCAGGAATGCGTTCCATAATCTGGATTCAGCGCTTATAAAAGCTCTGTCTCCTGCAGCCAGGTGTCCCTTGTTGGTCACAAATCAACAATTTATTGGTAACATGGCTGTTGTAGCAGGTCACGACCAATCCCATGAATACCTTTGAACATCAGGACGTATATCTTTAATTGAGCTCTATGTTCAAGGGGAAGATTGTCCAGAGAGAGTGCATGCGTGTGTGTGTTGCTAAGAAGACAGGTTGCTCTGTTTCTAAGCAGACCTAACAGGACATGGCCATTACGTCTGGCAGCACATGTTTTTAAGGTGCTACATGCATTACATGGTTACCCTGAGCAAGATACCTTTGACATCTTGGTGCCAGGCTGATGTAGCCTATTAGCCTGCCTCTTTGCTCATCCACATATTCTTGATCCTGCTTTTCATATGAGGTTCACTGTCATCTATTACCCTTCCCATTTATGCATTTACTCATTTCCTATTGCATTAGCTACTCTTCTGGGTCTCTGTGACAATTCTGAGATTACCCAATTTGCTTTTTTCTACATATCTGTGGGTAAAATGGGCCTAATTTAGCACTCTTTTTAACAACACACTTTTATATTTCACAGCAAAAGGGGATAGACTAATTGTTCCGAAGATCTTGACTTTGAACATGTAGGCCCATGTCTGATTTTACTTCCACTGCTGGGACCACTAGACTTCAGTGAGAGTACTGTCAATTTATCCTGGTGTAACTAAGATTAAAATTTCATGACAGCAAGCATTTATTATGAAAGACTGTCGGGGAGAAGCAAGCAAAATACAAAATAGCCTATGCCATTAAGCTTGTGCAAAGATTTATTTCAATGTCATTTGGAAACCACATCCGGGAGACTGAAACTCACACGGATGACCTTTCCCTGCCTCCTCGAGAGAGTTAACTTATGAGTAACTAATAGGGTTGCCAGCTGTTAAGTTTTTTACTGGAAAGCCCCAGTCGAAAAGGGACCCTGGAGCTTCCAATTATCACAACTGAGTGGACTGTTCAAAGGCAGGTTCCATACCTTCCTGGCTCTGTATGGCTCCTGGAAACAGCAGCATGTCCCTGCTCTGGGGTCTATACCCGGGGCAGCCAATGAGTTCGGCACATTGCCCCTGTCTCAAGTTCTGGCTCTGCAGCTCACATTAGCTGGGATGGGGCAGCACAGATAGCCAGAAGAAGGATGTGCCATTGTTTCCAAAACCTGCTTGAGGTAAGCACTTCCTGGATCCAGCACTCCTGAGCCCACCCTCACCCTCACCCTCCAAACCCTTATCACAAGCCAGAGCACACTTCTGTACCCCAAACCCTTCATCCCCTGCAGCCCACAACCCCAGCTGGAGCACCAAGTCCTGATTGCCCTCCTGCCCCCCATCGTCTCCAGTCCCACCCCCGGAGTTTTCATCCCTAACCAGAGCCCCTCATCCCCCACTTCCCATCTCAGCCCAGAGCACCCCAATGCACCAGCCCCTCAACCCACACCAGAGCCCACATGTCACATCCCAATCCACTGCTTCAGCCCAGAGGCCCCCCTGGCCATCTGAACTCCGCATTTCTGGCCCCACCCTGAAACCTGCACCCCCAGCGAGAATCCTCACCCCATCCTGCATCCCAGCCTCTTTTCAGTCAGCCTGGGCTATGTCTAGACTGCAAGCCTCTTTCGAAAGAGGCTTTTTCGCAAGATACTTTTGAAAAAGCCTCTTTTGAAAAAGAGCATCTAGATTACAACCAGTACTTTTGAAAAAGAAAACCGCTTTTTCTAAAGAGAGCACCCAGGCAGTCTGGATGCTCTCTTTCGAAAAAGCACAGTTTGCATTACATAGCGCCTTTTTTCGAAAGAGCACTTTCGAAAAAAGGCGTTCTTCCTCGTGAAATGAGGTTTACCGCCGTCGAAAGAAAAGCCGCGTTCTTTTGATTTAATTTCAAAAGAACGCGGCTGCAGTCTAGACGCAGGTGAAGTTTTTTCGAAAAACGGCTACTTTTTTCGAAAAAACCCGAGTCTGGACACAGCCCTAGTGAAAATGAGCAACTGTGGGAAGAGCAAGCAAAAGAGGGAGAGGAGGTAGAATGAGAATGGGGCGGGGCCTCAGAATGGGGGAAGAAGTGGGGTCCTTGGAGGAGGGGCAGGTCAAAGTTGTTCAGTTTTGTGAGAGTAGAAAACTGGCAACCTTAGTAACTTAAAATATAAAATCCCAGATGCTAAAAATTGGAAAAATTACTCATGGAATGAATACACAATCTCATTGGTCTTTTGCACTGCTTTTTTGTTATTACATATGATCTTTTTTTTTATATTAACGAGGAGTCCTTTGGCATCTTAAAGGCTAGCAAGTTTATGCATTTGATGAAGTGGGGTCCAGTCTAAGAAATTTTATGCCCTAATAAATTTGCTGCTTTTTAAGGTGCCACAAGATTCCTCATTGTTTTTGCTAAGAAACCAATATAGCTATCTCCCTGAAATTTAATTCTGTGTCATTTATTCAGATAAAGTCTTTATAGTCATGGATTTAAATGATACAGAAATACATTTCTAAAATAAATAATGAAAGACCAGATTGTATCTATACTATAGGCACAGCTACAAAGAAAGAATGATATACCTTAGGAAACTAGGCAGGAGATGCGAGCTATATGTCCACATTCAGGTCGAGTTTACACTGGTAAGTTACCGCACAGTAAATCAGTGCCCAGCACTGTAATTTTAACTGTGTCCACACCGGCAAGGCACTTAGTGCACGCTAGCTCCGCAATTAGTGTGCACTAGGTAAACCATCTCCGTGAGAAGTGTAAAGTTTGCTGTACTCTAGATAGTGCACTGGGGTGCCAGTGTGGACACTGTGGTGTAGTAATGTGTCCTGATTGGCACCCTTCCCACAATGCCTGTTCTGACCTCTCTGGTCACGTTTGAACTCTAGTACCGTGCTCAGGTGACCAAGACCTGCCAATGCAAGACCTGCATTCTTTTTGAATTGTGAAACTCCCCTACCTGTTTGCTTGACAACAGGTAGAGTTCTCAGCACATCTCTCCAGTTGGCCATTGCTCCACGCACCAAGATCCCCGGCTTGGAGCCATGCTGAAGTGCTGGACCTCATCAGCATTTGGCAAGAAGACGCAGTCCAGTCTCAGCTGTGCTCCAGCCATGGGAATTACAATATCTACAGGCACACCTCTAGGTGCATGACTGAAAGGGGCCATGACCATGATGCACTGCAGTGTAGGGTTAAAGTGAAGGATCTGTGAAACGCGTACCACAAGGCTCGGGAAGCAAACCACCACCCTGTTGCTGTGCCCTGATTCTACAAAGAGCTGGAGGAGATACTTGGAAGTAACCCTATCTCCACTTTGAAGACCCCCATGGACATCTCAGGGGCAGTGGACTGAGCCAGAAGAGGAAGGTGTGGCCGAGTGTGCTGAGGGGGAGAGGAACCCAGAGCCAGAGAACTTGGCATCCTTAAAGGCTTACAGGCAGAAGCCATTTTGTATCCCAAAGAGACGAGCCACTCACTGCAGATGGTGCTACTGGTAAGTGGATGGAAAAGCACTCAAGCAACTTGCCAGGAGTGGGAGAGTTACAGAAAGGAAGAGAGGAAGCATTTGGCCTCTCCATTCCTACTCCTGTCAACAAGAAGCTCTATTCCTGACTTCTTGCTGCCAGCCCTCTTCCCATAAGAAAAGGGGAATGTTGCTGCAGAGAACAGGTGATATCAGATCCAGACCAATTGGTTGACTGGAAGAAAGCCCCTTGGTTTGGGCTTTGGGGAGATGCATGTGCTAGTGCTGCTGGTGGTTCAAGAGGTCACATAGGATATGTTCACACTATACTATATACCTGGATCAGAGGGACCTAAGCTCAGGGATTCAGTGTTTTCAAGCCCATGCTTGAGTGTCCATGCTACATTGTAAACTTAGGCTTACAGTTGCTGAATCCAGGTCACACAGCTTCCTTGAGTGTCCATACTGCATTGGAGAGACCTTCTGGGCCAAGCTTGGTTTTTAGTGGTTAGGTGTTCATTACATCAGTTGAACAGTCAGTCTTCAAAATTGGGCCTGGAGAGGAATTTCTCTTTGGCCTTGACATATGGCCTCTTGAGGCATGCTAAGACTCTGCAATCTTACACATTGCTATTGCCTTGTGATGGAGTATATACCCCATCCTGACTATGAAAGGCTTAATGTGGTCCTGAGAGGCCACTCACTCACCTGGTTGTACCTGGAGGGTAGGATAGTCTTAATTTAGATCAATCCCAGGTGGGGAGGGACCTGGGTGGTGATTGTATAAGACCGGAGGAGAAAAATAACATATTGTTCATTTGCCCCCAATACTTTCTCCAGTTTTATTTTTGCATTTTTAATTCCTTGCACCACCGCTTTACCCCTTTCATTGTTCATTAAATCCTTGCTATTTATTATACTTTTTGCTTGTTTGTATTTCTATTTTTTTCCCTCAGATTCTTGTTTGACAATCTTCATTCCACTAGATAACTGTATTTCTGAGTTTGACACAGTTTGGTGTCTTACATATTAGCTAGGTTGGCTGCTGTTACAGCTCCTTTTATTGCATTATCATGACATTGTTTAGATGATCACTTATATGATTAGATATTAGATATTTAGTACACTTACTCTTTAAGAGTTCCCAATGTGCTTTTCTAAGGCTTCAAGTAGGAATTTCTTGGGTGTTTTCAATACTACCTTGGCCCCTATAAATTTCCCAGCTGTATTTACATTCTATATTGCTTGTTGCAAATCCCAGATCTAAACATGAAAAGATTCCATCCACAGAGTTAAACCTCGTAGCTGTTCTAGTACTGAGAAATACCAGGTTGGGCAGGACAACAAACTGTTCCAGGTATTTGCTGTTATAATCAGTTTTCCTGATTTCCTATAATTCATTATGGCTATTGAAGTCTCATAAACAACATACAGGACTTTCTAATTGTCTAGTTTTTTTTAGATGGGTTCTGTGGTGATTTGTATAAAGGCAGTGCTATTCATTCTGCAGATGAATCTCAATAGCAATGTACTCAAAACTTCATTTCTTTACATCTTTATCAATATAATTAAAGACCTTCCTTTAGAGCAGGAAGGATATTTATAGTTATTTTTCCGTCATGCTGGATTATATCATATCCTGGAAGTCTAAACATAAGTTCTCATTAACCATGTACACATTACATTATGAGGTTTTTTTTTCCCATTTAAAAAGCTTCCTTTAATGCTTGACCATGTGTTGTTAAACTATGTTCTAGGGGAAAAAAGTCAATAGAAACATTGTTTAAACTGCATCACATTCATGCAATTTTAAATGAAGGTAGTCTGCTGAGAGATTGCCTATATGCAAATACTTTTTGCTGCTTTTGTTATTATATGTATTCTTTCAGAGATCTTCCCTGTCTGTAAAATGCAATTCATAAAGTTGGGTTGGCTCACCAGCTGGAGGGGGCGGGGGGAATCATTTTCCCTAGGTTGGCTTAGCTGGTTGGGATGCAAGTTAAGTGCAATTAATCACTTGTCATAAATGCTATACATTTCCCAGTGCCTACAAGTACGTACTACATTTTCATCTGTCCCCCTTATATTATGTTTCTGTGCTGGTTTTGTGGTGTTGTACTAGTAGCTCTCTTCCCACATTAGCATTTTCCTCCTCCTCCACTTTCCATTGGGATTATGTTTTAGTTGCTACAGTACTACACAGGATATTCTAAGGCTTCAGATATGGATAAACAAGTTAAAAGAATGAATGGAATATGAAATAAAAACAAATATATACCTAGTCTTATAGTAAATGATAAAGTTGAAAATTCTTACTTATGAAAAAAATGAATATTTTAGTAAAAAAGAGTTCAAAAAATTAGTAGTGACAAATCAAAGAAAGGAACTTTGTGAACAAAAATGTTTGCTAAAAAAATGGATGAGCTCTTACATGATAGGGTAGAATATACAGAATAAATGAAAATGTACGTTTACAGGAATTTTAAAAAAGCTACAGGTAAAAGTAAAAATGCAGTTTGCTAAGTAAGGATAGTACCTATGCTGCCATGCTTGAAACACTTACCAGAAGAAGACAGGTAAAAGTAAAAATGCAGTTTGCTAAGTAAGGATAGTACCTGTGCTACCATGCTTGAAACACTTACCATAAGAAAGTTTATTTTGTTGAAATTATGGAATATATGGAAAGTATGGAAAAGGTATACTAGCAGCAGAGTGGAAGCAAGTGGTGATTTATACAGATTGGAAAACCTGGTAAATTATGCAAAGACCTTATGCATACAGATCTATTGCCCTCACATCCTGTGAAGACAACATTGTAAGACTGATAAATGAGAGAGATTAGTACAATACATGGAAAAAATGAAATATAAACTGTGTAACAAAGTGGTTTCAGGACAGGAAGATGCAAAGTTGATCATATTGTAAAATTAGAAACAAATACCAAACAAAGTTTGATAGTTGTGTTTTGGAGACTGAAAAATGCATGGTATACCATAGAGGGAAGCTTGCTGTATAAACTAGCCACAGTTGGATTAAGAGGAAGAATGTTCTGGTTGATAAGAAACTGCTTAAATGTTAGAACCATACATGTCAGATAGGGGCGGCTTTAAGTTAAATGTTTATAAATTTTCTAATGGCATTTCATAGGGGAGTGTGATCAACCCAACCCTATTTAACATTATTATTAATGATCTTTGGCTAGTATACAGGCAGGAATAAGTGTTAGTCTAGTGCAGATGATGGTGATATATGGGCCAAACATAGAAGTTTTAAGATAGCTGTGGAGGGAACTAATGAGCAGTTGGAGATTTAGGCTCTCACTTGTTCAAACAAAGGTAATGTTCTTCATCAAAAAGGAAAACTGAGGAAGGATGGGATTTCTCCCTATATAAAGAAAAAGTCAGATAGGTTCAAAAGTTTACATTTTTAGCAGTTATATTCAGTACATTAACTTGGAAGGGTCATAGATAATATCAAAACTAACTGAACAGATAGGATGAATCTGCTTTTAAGTATTACCAGGAACATGGGGTACAGATACGAAAAAAAACCTGTTAATGCTATGTATTACCAGGAACATGGGGTACAGATACAAAAAAAAAAACCTGTTAATGCTAGATAGGGCATTAATAAGACCAGTTACAAATTATGGATACTAAGTTCAACTTCTAATAACAAAACACAGACTCACAAAAAATCAGAGCCAATACAAGCCCAAGCTATGAATTGTTGTGCAAGTATTATAACTCTCTTGTGTGTGCTACAGGTAGCAACTAGCGAAATACCTATAATGCCAGGATGAAATTCTTAGATTTAATCTTTTGGGCTAAGGTTAATGGAAAGAGTAAATAGTACTAAATGAATGAGGACAGTTGGCAATTAAGTAGACAATAAGTAACCAGGTGCCACAAACTCTCAAATGCTAATGGAGACAAAAGGTGTGTGGAAAAGGAAGGTCTGGAAAAAATTAAAATCCTTACTTATGGGAAATTAAACTATTACTGGATGGCTCACTCTCCAGTTGTGGATTTAAAATTATACAACAAAGGTAAGAGCAGGGCCATCAAACATGACGGCTATGATTTCTAAGTTTATACATGGCAAATGGGATCAGCTTTGAAAAATTTATGCTGACTGCTTTAGAGATGAGACCACAACTTGAAAAGGGCCTTTTGTATCCCTGAATCTAGAATTAAGAGATCTATGAAACTATCCAATTTTGTGGTCATTATGATGAGCGAATTGATAAGCATACCTGTTGGCAGTCACATGGATAAGGGATATATGTGCAGTTATGACACTTTATCAGAGATAATGGTGATTAGAAAGGGAGCCTAGGAAAGCAGAAATGGTTCAATTATTCTTAACTAAAGAGTAAAACTAGGTATTCATATCATAATAATGTGGATTCCTATATATGCTAAGATATTGGACAACAAAGTGGCAGATAAAGCCATGAAAAATGCCTTAAAAATAGATTAACACAGAAAGCCCTCTGAGTAAACAGGATTTCAAAAATTTGGTTAGACAATTGAAGAAAGAATGTCAAGAGCTATAGACCACACCGAAAAAAGGACGAAGGTTCTATGAAATATGTCCTAAACTTGAGGATAATGGTATACTTAATAGTTATGATAGAAAAAGTGAAGTAGCTATATATTTAGAGTGTTAGCAGGCCACTGTGACCTGAATGATAATTTACATTTACTAAACAAGCACAAAAACAAGTTATGGATATATGCAAAGTCAAAAAAATAGTTGAACATCTCCTGTGGCAATTCAGGGGCAGCTACATAATTCTTCAGAAAGAATTTTTCTTTGACACACCCCCAAAGTAAAAGAATATAGTCTGAAAGGACTGCTGAGTACCGAGAAAGTGGGGAAGCATTAAGAAATATTTTTGGATTTTTTTTTAAGAATCCAGTACTGGGTGAGAGGATATAGATTTTGCTTATGCAAAAACTGCTACAGGTGACAAGATAGCCTTGAGATTGCTACATCATAAAACAGGAAGCATAAAGAAAAAGAAAGAATGGAGGCTTTGGAGAGAGTGAAGAATTCTGCATTCACTCTTCAGATACAAGAGAGTAGCAAGAACCTAAAGGTCAAGGAGGAAGTCCAGGAAGAATGCTGGCCTTGGGATCCTCATCTGAATAGAGAAGTCTGGCAAGAGGCCAGGTAAGACACAGCCATTAGGAATGAACAAGCTTCAGTGGGGTGAGTTTTGATTAAAAAAAAAAGGCAGAATCTGGGTCTGCTAGACATCAGGGAAGGTGGCATGAAGCCCCTCACACAAGTGGAAAAGAACTTTCAATATTCCTCAGATAAGCAACTCTAAAAACCACATGGGGCCAAAATCTGAGCTGAAAACCTTTTGTAAGGACACTAGGTTATCTGTTTGACTTCTCTACCCTGAAAAGGGAAGGACCTGGCTGGAGGGGCTGAGTCATAAGAAGAGGCTGGCTGCTACAGGGCTGGAGCAACTGTCAGCAGAGGCTGCCACATGAAGAGAGCCTGCTGCACCAGGTACTGACATGAGGGGATGCCCTTCTGCATGCCCATACTCTATCTTGCTTTTGAAAAGAAGAAACCAGCCCTGGTGTTCTCGAGAGACATTCAAATGACCATTATGTCCACATCCATCATCTTGAAGCCCAGTGCCTCTGATTGGGTCTCAGTTTGCTTGTAAAATGTGGTGAATTCTGAAAACATTAATAATAGCAGGTGACAACTTTCAGAAAGATAACATCCACTTTCACTGCTCCCCATCGTTGTCCTGCTGTACTCTCTACTCTTCTTCATCCCCAGAATTACTTGGATCCAAGTGCTTCTGCAACAGAGCTTGTATGCATCTCTCCAGTGTAAATGCCATATTGCAACCAATCATCCTTCACTGTAGCCCAGGACATCTGTTTGGTGGAGAACCTTGCTGTCCAATCCCCTGAATTACTGACAACTATGACACCTCCTAATCCACCCACCCTTGTTTTCATGTAATTCAATGCAGTGTCAGCAGCTTTCTCCGGTGTCATTCCTGAAAACAAGAACACAGAAGAATGATAATCAAGCAGTATTTGGTTCGGGTTCTACAGAAGTCTGTGACAAAGTTCTCTTTAGACATCATGACCTATGAAGCCAGGCTTCATGAACTGGGCTTGTTTAGTTTGGAAAAAAGAAGATTAAGGGGGGACATGATAGCGGTTTTCAAATATCTAAAAGGGTGTCACAAGGAGGAAGGAGAAAATTTGTTTCTCTTGGTTTCTGAGGACAGGACAAGGAGTAATGGGCTTAAAGTGAAGCAGGGGAGATTTCGATTGGACATTAGGAAAAAATTCCTAACTGTCAGGGTGGTCAAATATTGGAATAAATTGCCAAGGGAGGTGGTGGAATCTCCCTCTCTGGAGATATTTAAGAACAGGTTAGATAGACATCTGTCAGGGATGGTGTAGACGGAGCTTGGTCCTGCCTTGAGGGCGGGGGGCTGGACTCAACCTCTCGAGGTCCCTTCCAGTCCTATTATTCTATGATTCTATGATCATTCTCTGAAGAACCAGGCCCTGAATTTCTTTCCTTTACTAAATGCCCAAGAAATTACAAGTGCAATGGCTGGAAAATGCTTTGTTTATGGGAGGGATGTGAACAGCTGCAAATAGCTGCTATGCTGTAGTAATACTGCAGAGACCGGGTTTATGTAGCTTCTCAATTATTCTGAGCTTTCAGTCTTTTTGACTTAAAATAACTGGTGAACTTCCCAGTTTAGTGAAATTTCTAGGAATTTCTGTCTAATACACTTATGACTTGAACACTCACAATAATTCATAGCATGAAAATTTAAAGTGATGGGAACAATCAGATCAGCAAGTCAGACATCCTGTATATCACATGCCACCCACTTTCCTAGTACCCACACAGAACCCTGTGATCAAAAGTTGACCAAAGGAGATTAGGCTATGATGTGCCACAGGCAGAGAATAGGCAGGACTGAGATGCACCATGCCTGAAGTCCCCACAAGTGACCATACTCACAGGCTGCAAAGAAAGGCAACACACCCCACCATCAACCAACTAAAAAACCCCTAAAAATCAAGAAACACAAAAATAACTCTCCAAGGTCTTTTCCAATGTGATTTGAATGAAAATGCCTTCCCATCACCATATATAGTGATAAGTCAGACCCTGAACATGAGAGCAAGAACCAGCCATCCAAGTGCCTAGGAAAAAACGCTTGGAGAACTGAATTGAAACATCCATCACCATTGGAATCCCCTACAAAGTTAGACCAATGAATGCTGAGGTACTTGGAGTGTGATTCTATTTGATTAACTTGAGTAATATGGATGCTGATGCTACTTTAGGTGCCAGCCTTTATATTGTTACTGGGCTATGCACTGACACCACAGCCCAGATTCTTTACCACACACAACCCCTACTAATGGAAGCACTTTATAAACAGAATAGAAGAACAGTATGTCCTACACAGAAATTTGTTAATAGTTGTTGTGTAGTTGTTCACAAGTTGTAACTCTTCATTTGTCTTTAGAAATGCCGTGGTACTTGGTCTTAATATTGTGAACTAAAGCAGCTGTGTTGGTACACACACGGGCATAAACAATGCAACTTCTGGTTATATACATAGCCCTCATTCAAACTTTCTCTTTCTGGCAAGATGGAAATCCATTCTCAAACACTATGGTGAAGTCCTGACTATTGAAGTCAATGGGAATTTTGCCACTGACTTCAACAAGATCAGCTTTTCACCAAGGCAACAGCTGCTACCATAAGGCAGAAATTCCAATAGCTGTTAAAATAATTTTTTTTCCCCAAACAAGTCACAGATTGCACATGACAAGAAGAACTTACATGAACTTGCAATCTCACTCAGCAAAATGGAGGAAACTAATTAAACACTCTGCTCAAAATATTCTTTCAAATACTGAGGAAACAGAAATAAGATTCTCTGCAAAAGAAATATGTTAAAGGTACAGCCAGCCATTCTTTACACTTCATGGATGCATTATATGCAAGTCCGATATTCTAAGTTACTTGTTTTCTATCTTTAGGAGTCTGAATCCTAATTTTCAAAAATGAATTAGACATTTAGAAGCCTCATCAACAGTCAGTGTCATGTAGACATCAAAGCCATTTAGGTGACTTAGAACATTTCTCCCCTGTGTACACACTTAGGCTTATTTTAGGGTTATTAAATATTTTGCTTCGGTTGGCAGTTCAAGGTCTCAAAGTAATAACAACTTTAGGATTGAGCTTTGGCTCTTTTTTGAAATGCTGAGGAATTGCTCATTTGCTGGAGTCTTTGCCTGGAACCTGGGTTGCTCCTGAACATTTCAGGGAAGGCTGAGTGGTGGCAAGCTAGCAATGGTTTTATGCTATACACTAAGACATTTAGAATGTTTTAAAAGGATTTTAGTGTGGTTCTCCTGTAAGACTAGCATAAATAAAGTGTAACTTCATTGAAAATAATAGAGTCACTCCACTGTAAAACTAGGGTAAGTGAGAAAAGAGCCTGGCTCAATTCTTTACGGTAAATTTAAGCCTCGAAGACCATTTATGAAAGGAATGAACTCTAATGAAACAGGACTGTGAGATGGGGCTGTGCCATGTTAGGGCTTTGCAGAACAAGCTGTGCAGAGTATTATATTTTACACTGATATTTTCTCTTGGCTCTGCTAAGAATGAACCATGAATAGCGTATGTAGGGATTACAAAACATGAAGCAGTTACAGAAATCTTCTCAGCTGTTACTTGCCATCTTGTTTCACATTTCTCTTATGAATAAGAATGTAAATTAAAAATGTTCTACTGCAATTCAGATTCTGGTAAGAGTCTGAAAAGTTATTGCTCATTAGCACTTGTGAACCATATTCTAAAAATAGCAGTGATGTCTACATTAATGGTTCTGTAACTCCATGGAACATAAGTATGTTGTCTGATTGTTTACAGGCTGTAATATAAGCAAGGGTTTGGATGACATTCTAACTGAGGAAGGTAAAGCTTTAAAGAGTCATCCATAGTTAGATTGTGTTACAGTGAGATGAGATACTCCATGCCAGTTGTTTACCATATATGCACCTGGTCTATTTAACATACAGTTTAGTACACTTTCCAAAATAAAATGAAAATGCAGTCATGTGGAATTCCTTTTAGAACAGAGAGAATAATGTAAAATTTCAGTTGCTCCAAACAATTCATAGGAATGAATTATTACAGTTTGTGAAGTCTCTAAGCTTCTTTTGTTTTCCTTTATTTGTTCTCATTTTTTACTAATACGTCCTTACATTTGCATTTTTCCAATTCTCTGATCATGAGATTACTTAAAATTGTAAAAGAAAGGCTTTATGCTGTATCTAAAACATGATGGAACAAAAATATCCATGCTACTTGATATTCAAAGAACACAGTTGGAATCTGATTTGCACTTTTAGTCTTATGATACTGTTCTTGTTTTGAAATAATCCACCCATAAATGGCTGGGAAGCTTTTTGGGGGAGGGCAATGCTTTCTAAGAGTATAATTTACATAAAGCATTTAATTCCAGTCTTACTTTCCCTCATCTAACTGGAAAGTTTAGAATGTACCTTGTTCCATGTGATAGAGAACAAGTCGGGCTAGGACCACTTTCATCATGCTTTCTCCATGCCCTGTGGTAGATACGGCACCAACATGGTTATCTGCGTAGCCTCCACTTCCTACTCAAAGAGAAAATATGAGAATAATAAGCTTTATAGCAAATGACAATTACAAGCAATGCATAATTTCAAATTACAGGCCAATTTCTAAAGTTCTGGAGGAGCTATTTGGCCCTCTTGTGTCTGATTTCTTCCTCAGTTTCAGAAACAGTGTGAAAGATGTCAGTAACAGCTGGAAGAAGTTGGTTGCCAAGTTACAGGGTTGGAAAGATAATGGCATAATGGGAAAGGAGCAACAGTGGAAAGCCTGATATTGGATTAGGAAGGAGTGAGCATTAACAGTAGCCAGATCTGTGGCAAGTATATGGAAGTGAAGGAATGCAGGAAAAACAGGGTAGAAAGATAGGTAAGGTGATGGTGGGGAATTAGGAAGCCACAAGTAGAAGAAATGAGGCAGTTGGACTTGCACTGATGACTAACTGGCTGGGGAGGTGTCCTGCATGAATATGCTGACCAATGGACAGCAGAGAGGTGATAAGAGGTAGAAGAATCAAGATTCTACTATGACAGAATAGGAGAGAAAAGACTGAACAGGAGAGCCACTTCCAAGTTGGCTTTGTAAATTAAAAAGGCTGCATTGATCTAGGAGGGCAGCAAACCTGCTGATTGAGAGGTACCATGCTTAAGCAATCGGTGTTTGTGTCTCTCGAGAGCTGCTGGAACCAGCACCAAAGATAGGGGTCTACAGCTACCTAATATCCCAGCTCTGACCTAGAACAACCACTCACTATTTTTGTGGAACAGAGGGGGTTAAGTCAGTTCAGGGCTTGTGAATGACACAATTTAATAGTTACAATGTCAGGAACCCTGAAAAACTAAGTCAAATTATCAACCCTTTTAAATTTTAAAATGATTTGAATTTAAAAAAAGCAGTAGGCAATCTTGCATTCGGAACAGACATGGTTTCATGCATGCTCCTTTTAATGAATGGCGTGCCTCCTCTTGCAAAATGAGCATTAAAAAAGCTGATACTACTAGAATTAAAAAAGTCCTGGTAAATAATATTGTTGAACATGAGACTCCTCCAGGCCCCTTAAAGGCCAGACTTTTGAGGCCTTATTCCTGCAGACCACAGGAGAGACACAAGAGAATGACATCACCCTTGCCAAACATTGGGAGACTGAGTAGGGGCAGACGTTGTTCAGGAAATAGGGGCATTTTATAAGACTATGTATTCTTCTCCCCACCACCATGCTTTCTGTGGCAGAAACTTACTGAAAGAGTCAAAGCTTTAAATAAGAGTGAAGTAAGTTGCCAGTCATTTTGGAGACTTCTAGTTAAATTTTCATTGCTCTAACGAAACTCCACTGACTACAATTGGAGTTGCATCTGATATACAATAGTATAAGATGGAGAAGAATCTGATGCATTCAGTTAATTTTTCACATTAGTTTTAATTGCTTTCTTTGGAAAACTCTTGAATTAAGCAAACTCTGAGCAATTAATAGACAGTGCTTTAAAGGGGAACAGGTGGCTATATTGCCTGTGTTGCAAGGGAACATAGCATATGAGCTTTTGGTTTATGCACAAGAGTATTACAGTATGATGAGAAGGCACATGATAGGGAAAACCCAGGCCATATTGTTTCCAGAGAAAGGGGGGGAGAGTGTCTCTTATTTCTGTTTGTTCAGACTTAACAGAAAGTTGGAGAGTAAGTGCAAAACATCTATTCTCATTTGCACCTTCCTGGTTGTGTCAAAGCAGTCATTAACATAATAAATTGACTCATGTTAGTATATTTAAATTTAAGCCTCAATTCTTGATCAGTTAGTGTCAATGTTTTATTTCAATAATAGAAAATAGGAATGTTAACTGATTTCATTTACCCATACCTATGCATGCTGAATCACCGACTCGGCCAACCAGTTTATTAGAGAGTCCTCCAGTTGATGTTGCACAAGCTACATTTCCTTCATTGTCTATAGCAACAGCACCAACTGTTCCAGATTCTCTGCCAAGAATAATATTTCACAGAATTAGGCAGAGTTAAGAATACTTGCCAAAGCATATTGTGTCCATTCTGCAGGTAGCTTTTAAAAATGTGAGATTACAACAGAAGTCTACAATTGAATGTCATTAACTTTAATCTAACCTCATGTCAGAATCACTTCATTTTCATAGCAGTGTGGAGGATTTTGACATAGGAAGTTTCATTATGAAAAACCACTATCCATTTCAGATAACAAGCAATATGTAACAATTCTGGCATAGTATCAACCTTATAATTAATAGCACAGATGTCAAACTCTTGGCCCACTTGATCTGTTTATCGGATCTCTCCAGGATAAATTTATATAATACAATCTGAAAACTTTCATTTGGAAAGAATAAAAAACATTCTTAGCTCTCCTGACTGTGAAGATAATCTTTCAAATGGGATCCACTGAAGCTATACTTTAGCCTAAAACAGCAACTCAGATACTAGGAACTGCCTCCATTGTCTCAACTGCAAGAGCTCTGAATCCTAGGGTACATCTAGACTGCTTTCCTCTTCCAAAAGATGAAGTGCTGATTAGCATATTCACGCTTAATTTGCATATCCTCTTCCAGACTGCTTTCCTCTTCCAAAAGAGGAAATGCAGATGAAGCGCTGATTAGCATATTCTCACGCTTAATTTGCATATCCTCTTCGGACCATTTTTGCGGAAGAGGTGTTTTTGGCTAAAAACAGTCTAGATGCAGCTCTTTTGTGGGGAAAAAACCCCCTTTTTTGAAAGAACCTTAAACCTCAATTTTTGAAGAATACGGGTTTTCGAAAAAGGGGTTTTTCATGAAAAAGACACATCTAGACTGAGTTTTTTTTGGCAAAAAAACCTCTTCTGCAAAAAGGGTCGGAAGAGGATATTCAAATGAAGCGTGAGAATATACTAATCAGTGCTTCATTTACATTTCCTCTTTCGGAAGAGGAAAGCAGTCTAGATGTACCCCCTAGTGATGATACATGCAAAAAGAGAAATGAATAAAGAAATAGCAGGAATCTTTAAAATGCCCTGCATCCCTCTCTGCCCCCTCTGCCCGAATTGTTGAATGAAACAGTAACTTTACTAACAAAGTTAAGATACTTCACTCTACCCTTAGTCTGTGAAAGTGTCCTTTATGCCACTGGGAGGTCAACAGTGATATATGGCCTGAATTTTACAGTCTCATTTCATGGATGACAATCTATAAAATTACATTCCAGGATTGTCATTCTGCAACCTAAAATGTCTGAGTCAGTGTGAAGCGATAGAAACAGCTACAAACATGGCAGAGAGCTCTTTATTCAGAATATAACCATGTTGAATCATATCTCTGAGTTTTGCAATCTGTTGCCATCCTGTTTTCATCTTCACGGTGCTTTAGAATTTACACATTATACCCAGTGGTACAGGCTACAGTAAGACATGTATCAATGTCACTTCAAGTGGTCTAGACCACTGTGATACTGGAAGTAACTCAATCATCCACCACTTACTCTACAGCTAATTTATATGTAACAGTTGCATTGGTTGTATCAGGGAGACAGCACAAATGGCAGATTACTTGGCCTTCCAAACCACCCATCCAACAAAACCAGGATGCATAATCCCAAATACACACACAACCCCTTAGTGCAGAGCATATCACTCACTTCCCACCACACAAATCAACATATCTTCCAGCACAACCCCCAAGATCTAAGCAGCACAACCAGCATAAACAGTGACCTCCTACATCACTCTGAAGTCTATTTGAGTCAGTCCAAAGTAAGTGAAAAGCAACAAGAATGGTTGAGAGGTCTTTCGATTTAGAATTTCACTGGGTTCAATCATCTTTGGGATTTGTGGTCTATGATTCCTTATTTATAGTTGAAAGTTCATGCTGTTGTAAGATTGTATTTTGTTAAGAATATCTTCTCACCCTGTCTACAGCATGAGCATGACTGACTTCTGAGATGTACTCTGTGTCATGTTACTGTGCTACTTAATAGAATTAGCTAAGTAACAATACATAATACAATGTCTTTCTATATATACACAATGTCTAAGGAATTTTTGCTCCCATCCAGAGTCACAAGACTGAAGCTCTAATAGGGTATGTCTACACTACAGCACTAATTCGAACTAACTTAATTCAAATTAGTTAATTCGAACTAAGCTAATTCGAACTAATGCATCTAGACCTAAAAACTAGTTCAAATTAGCATTTTGCTAATTCGAACTAGCATGTCCACACTGAGTGGACCCTGAACCGAGGTTAAGGATGGCCGGAAGCAGTGCCGGCAAGGCATCAGGTTAGGACTTAGAGCGTGGAGCTGCTGTCTCAGGCTAGCCGAGGGCTGTGCTTAAAGGAACCCGACCCCCACCCCGGACAGACAGTTCTCAGGGGTTCCCCGCCTGCAAAGCAGTCCTGGCTTGGAGTGCCCTGAGTGCCCACACTCGGCACAACACAGCACTCGGCCATCAGTCCGGCTGCACTTGCCGCAGGCTGC